AGAGAGAGAGAGAGAGAGAGAGAGAGAGAGAGAGCCGATCGGCGACAGGTGATATTCCTCGTGAATCGTGGAAGGCAAAACTGGATGGTGTCCCTGGGGCTACCCATTCTCTCCACGAGACCTCAGTTACTGAGTGGTCTGACGGCGTCCAACTCGCGAACAGCACTGCGTTCTTGTTCACAGCTCGCAGTAGGTTAAAAAAAATGAAGGGGCAATATGGTTCAGGACATTTAAATTTAGGGCCGAACAGCAAAAAACCTTGCCAATAATATCATAAGAAGCTTCGTTCATTGAACATGCGTTTCTCGGGCGACAAAACAATGTGGTCAGGTTAGAAATAAGTCTATTGTTGAGATGATCTTTTGAAGAATGTAAAAAACTTCTCTTACTCCAAGGACAGTGCACATTGGTAAAGCTGACGAAGAGAGCATATTATTTGTGAACACACAAAAAAGAAACGTCAAGCGGTTTTGACCAAACAGTTTATCAATCGTCTGCCACGTGGCTGTGTTCCTGAGGTTTTCTTTTCTGGCCATTAGGTAACTTTTTAAAATTCTCTTTATTTTTTTATTCAACGACCTATTATATCTATTTTAAAATTCTACTGAAAAACGTTGATTAAAGATACACAAAGGCCACGTAAATTTGCAGGTTCCAAAGTCTCTCAAGCTTTGTAAGTCACAAAGTTTAGGCGGTCATTTTCTCACTAAATTTACTACAGACACCAGGCGCCCCACCACTTTCAATCGTAAATAACTCGACTTCTATTCTAGATAGATGAGTGTTGAGGGGGGGGGGTTCTCCACCAAAAGCAAGGCAAAAGAACAGGGTCAAATATAATACCAAGAACTCTATGTATGCCCCAAAATTGACGAGCGCCTGATTCCACCGAGTTTTGACACATATTAGGATATTAGGGAAGCCACGTCCTATCTGTATCCTCTCAACACCCACGGAGAAAAAAAACAAAATATTATAGTTGTCGTATCTTCGTTGTGAAATTGGGAATAAAAAGGGGTCCTAAAAAAAAATCTAAAAGCGTCAACATTTGATAGATCTTCGTATGGAGCTATTCTTTCTTGTTCCTTGTTCATTGTTTATGGGTTCTTTAATTGTTACCTGCTTGCCTAATCGAGAGAACACTAGCAAAAATATAATGTTGCTTGCTCCATTTCAACTCCAACATTTTCTCCTTAATTCGTGCACCCCCAATTTCATTCTTTAGGATATTGTAAAGAACAATGTGGAGTCAAGTTTTTATCCAGAGCTGGGGTTTTCAGTACATGTACTGAACTCGTATAGCTCAAAGCAACGTCTAGATTCGTTAAAAGTTTGTTGGTTGTTGTTTTTTTCTCCTTGTTTTTCTTTTTTTTTGGGGGGGGGTGTGTTTTGTTTGTTTGTTGTTTTGTTTTTGTTTGGGTTTTTGTTCGTTTTTTGTTTTCGTTTTTTGTTTTGTTTTTGTTTGAATGATAAAAAAAGAGGATAAAGAAACAATCTTTCTTTCATCAATGTAGAAATAATTATAGGTAACTATTGCCCGAGGTGCTTGTTATCTTGTACTAGCTACAAGGAAGTATTTGTCACAGCTGAAAAATATTTCCTCTTGCCCAAAAAATTGTATGGCTAATGCGCATCGTGACCAGTAAGATTTCAGTTTCATTTTGTACCAACTCCTGTTGTCGGGACTGGTATTCGGTGCTTTCAAAGTGATTTACAAGAAAGCAGGGAAAACTGATTTGTTGCAAGACAGCACTAAGTTTGCAATGGCGTGTTTGTAAACTGACAGGCAAGTAGCCGGGCGTGTGGCAGACAGACAGACAGACAGACAGACAGACAGGTAGGCAGGCAGGCAGACAGGCAGGTAGGCAGGCAGGCAGGCAGGCAGGCA